GAATTACAATGGCATTGTAGCCATTTTCCACATATATATATATATATGTAGCTGAACATTTCAGTTTAGCTGGTCATTCAATTTCAAATTTCAGAGATTGCAATTGACCATAATGCCAATTGGAGCGACAAAAATCGCAAAGATAAAGAGAATCACAGGAACTTTTACTTAAAACCACCACACCATTTGGACTCAATATTAGGAACGTTCTCCCAGTACACTAAGTTAAACCTATGGTATTCCAAATTATTCTGGATAAATCATATGGCTTATTCATTGAGGCATGCCTCTAAAGTTTAGTTTTGGCCTTCCTGTTTACTTGTTTAGGCTGTTTATTCTAATCCCACCTAGCCTATTGTTTCTAATCATGCTTGCATGAAATTCTCACTTTATACTATCTGGCTTTTTCAATTCTCACTCACTCGCCACTTAGTGTTGTCCGAAAGCTCTGGTTCTGTTCTGGCTGTTTACTTATGCTTACTTTTTAGCTGTTGCTTATCATTTTTGTTTCTCTACCGAGATCCAGCCATTGTTTCCCACAGGATTGTTGTTTTTCAATATTTTGCCTTTTAATCTATATATATATATATATATATATATATATATATATATGACCTCTCACTGTCAAGGTGAGCGTCATAAGCATTAGACCACAGAGGTTTCATGGTTGAACAGATTAAAATAACTGCCAGGTACTTTGTATTACACAATGGTGCACCTTGAGAGGGCGTTAAACAGCTGGAAAATAAATAGCAACATATAATATAGATCAAGATAGCCATTTACACTGTTAAATTATATATAAATCATCAAAGAAAGATAAATACATTGTTCAAATAAATGACATGATGATACATAGTGTATGTGTGTGTGTGTGTATATTTTTGTAAATATAAAGTTCTTCACATTTTCTGTTTAAATTTTGTTTATGTTTGGATAGGTTTACACAGGATGGGCAGGTTGAGCTTGATCATAGTCTTCTTAATACTGATGACGTGCATGTACATGCGAACTCAATGACATTGGAGGCTGCTAACCTGATTACACAAGGTACACCACTTAATATCCAGACACAAGACACTCCCACTTCTTCCCCACTCCCACCAAAATATGAAGACTTACCACCAAAATATGATCCAGTCAGCGAACTCCTCGTTGCAATGACAGCACCATTTGGTGAGCGAGGGCGACAAATTTTCCCAAGTGAGGTGAAATTGTTAGATTTTTGTGACCATAAAAAGCAGCCATTAGAGCATCAAGAACACCTTGTAGGAGCTATAGCTTATCAGAACCCAGTCACCATACAGATGAACCAGGCCGCCGCGTACGTCCACATGCCTGAGAGACACGATTTGCTTGAAGGTTGTTTCGAAGATGATAATAAATCAAGGCTTAGAAAGAATAAACGCAAAGCACGGGAACCAGCTATACAGGACCTACCGACGGATGTCACAGATTCTCAGAAGCACAACCCCCTCTATGTGGAGTCTGATGATGAAAATGGGAGCTAACTTCAGGAATACGCTTCAATTTTGACACATACTGGCGTAAAATAACTGGGAAAAGTGGGCTAGTAGTTTTGTCTGTTAGGAACAGACTTGTTAACATGCTTTCTTTGGATAGTAGAGTAGATTTGAATTCATCACAGAATGGATTCATGTCTGATATCCAAATAAAGATACTCCTTACTATTTTTTAAATCATGTAACTAGTGCAATATTGTGTTAGCTGAAAATTATCTGTTAATTATTTTTTAATGCTTAGTCCATAATACAGGCATGCGAAGTAATGCTGTGTTCCATAGTAAATCCTTGCCGAGCCATGGGACCTGAGCTTATCCCCAGTTTCTCTAGCGTGAATTGGATGAGAATGTGATACTCCCCCTGGGTGGGGTGCTAGTTACCCCAGAAATTTTCTGGTACCCATAGATACAGCTGGGTAGACTAAAGCAATGTGGATAAGGTGCCTTGCTCAAGGACACAAGCAAAATACACAGCGAAGGATTGAAACCCACCTAAGGGTTAGGAAACAAAACCATTTCTACTGCACCAAACTCCTTCCACTGCAATGTTCCATACAAAGGTATATTTCCATTCCCTTTAATATTTTTTATTTCAACAGCTTTTAGGCAGTTTAAACTAATGCAGGGCTTTTGCTATCAGATTTTGATTTGTCATATAAATGTTTGATTAGATTTTGTCTGGTGAATTATGTTGGAAAAATAATAATAGACATAAACAGACACATGTCTGATCAGATATGTCTCATACAAAACATACACTTTCAGAAAAAATCTTATCAAACATTGTTCAGCCTGACAGACAAATACACTCTCAGAAAAATATATCCCACTTCTCTGTTTTGTGTTTTTTATTTGATTAACAAATTTTAGTTTAGCTTAATCATCATATGCTGTATGCATTTCTTATTTACTAAAATCTTCTTTGCTTAAATGCTATTGTTCTTTTTTTGTATTCGTAAATTTGTTTTTGCGGTACAGCTAATGTAATTCCGAATCTTGCCAAACATTAGAATTCTCTGCTAGCTTTTGACCAACTGGCAGTAGATATTAGATTTTAAAGCTTTTTATTTTGAGGGTTTATTTGGTGGCTTGCTAATCTCTACATTGAATTTATTATTTTTGTTATTAGAACTATTGCTGTTATTTTTTTATTATTATTTGTTCAGGTATTTGAATATTATAATTACTGTTATCATCATCATTAGTATCATCATTACCTACACGATCAACATCATTATCATCATTAGGCTTAAAAAAATAAAATGTTTGTTTGCCCTTCTTTTTTTAAAATGATAAAAGGGGCAGGTGGAAAACGTATTTTATTTATTTTTTTTTAAATACTCATCAGATGGAATAAAAATAACCCACAGAGGCCTAGAATGGCAATATCTTACATCAGACAACAACTTTAGACTAATTTGTAGGGCATCTGGCAAAAAGTAAAGATAAATTCACTCACATCTTTTTAATTTGTAAAGAAAAAAAGCTAAAAAAAGGACTTTTTTGAAGTTTTTTTTATTTTCCGCCCCTATTTTTTTCAGTGAGTTAGGGGCGGGTGGAGGAGGGCAAACAAACAATTTTTTTTACCTTATCATCGTGATGTTCATCATCATTGCCGTCTTCATCATCACCATCATTTTGCAATAAAATGCTGTAGTAGATTCACAATCAATGATATAAATATCCTTGGTAAAATTATAAAGTATACCTATTATATTCAATTGTCAATAATGCCTACTATATTAATTTTCTTGGGTTTCAGAATTTAAATTAAAAACTCATGTTTCAATAACGATGTTTGATTACAGTTTGATTTCTGTCTGGATTTCCATGGGTTTCCCATTCTAATTGATAACCAGACAACCCAATAAGGCTCAGAAAATGTTATCTGTTAAATTCTCTCCTTACAACTAAGTATTAGGATGGTATGAACTCAGTTTAGATATGTGTATATACTGACTGACTTACTAGTATTTAATCTTCAGAAAACAAAATTTAATTTTATATATGTTTTAGAGCTACTATATATTTTTAGATTCATGTTTTGTTGAAATTACTAATATTAATGGCAATCAAGATCTGATTTTTAATTGTTTACTTATATGATAATAATAATAATAATAATAATAATAAGATTTATTAAGCGCACATCTCCACTAAAGTGCTCAGAAAACAAAAATTATTTATATTAATGTTTTAGAGCTATTATATAATTTTAGATTCATGTTTTGTTGAAATTACTAATACTAATCGCAATTAAGATCTGATTTTTAATTGTTTACTTATAAAATCATAAGAAAACAAAATTTATTTATATTTATGTTTTAGAGCTATTATATATTTTTAGATTCATGTTTTAAGATTACTAATCTTACTAATCCCAACCATGATCTGATTTTGTATTAGGATTAGTGGCGTTCACAATCCTAATTCCATTACATATGATATGGACAAAGTTATTAAAATTTTTGTATAATATATATTTGATTAATTTGTAAATTCTACCATGTATTTTATCACTTTTACTGCCTTTTTGGTGTTTAGTAAATCTTATTTTATCTCTTATCTATTTCCAGAAATTGAGGTGATAATTATCAACTATTAATCATAATCAAATTCACATGTCTTTTATTTTTATTATTCTAATTAGAAATCAAAGCTGCTAAAGACCATGGAAACCCTAGTCCCAAAGGTGGTCTTTAATTAGAGGGAAACCTTATAACCATAATAGCTGTTGTAACGGTGGTGTTATAGGCCTACCAGTACCTTCAAGGTTGTCCAGATTGTAACCAATGATAATCCTAATTTGTTTAATCCTAGCATAACCAGCCAGTTGTTTTTATAAATTATATATACTTATTAGTTAAAGGAAATAATCCAAGTCTTTATATATCCCCTTTTAACTTATTTTGTTTGTAGTGTTGAACCCATTTAACTAATCCGTCCATAATAATATTCTTGAATAATGTGCTCAGTATTAATATTACTCATAACAGTCCTTGGAATTCTTTGACAAGATGCAGTAGACCATTTGACGTGAATTAACCTTTAAGAACAAACATAACTCTGATAATATTTATGTAGCATTCAAAGTACAATGTTTACATGAATCAAGAACAACTAAAAGTTAAATGTCATTCATTTATAATGGTGAACTTATATTGTCTTGACCTCTATACTTACTTTTTCCACCTAGCCGTCATCATGTTTAGGACACTTGGCTGTCATGCGTGTCTTGCATGTCTATGCACATCACAAAGAAAAAAAAATAAATCAGTCTAAAGGCCTGTTTACACTATGACGATAACGATCAACGCTAAAAAGCAATTGTTCATACAGAAAGTAAAAGAAATAAGAGTCTTCACACTAGCGCAATTCGATAACAATAATTTCACAAATCAAATCAAAAGACGTCATAAGCATGGGAAAACTATAAAATCGTTTTTACTACTATGATTTTATCGTTTTCCTATGGCTATGACGTCATGTGATTTGATTTTTTAAATTATAATAATTTTTATGGTATACACGATAAATCGTTATCGAATCGTGCTAGTGTGAAAACTTCTCTTTTACTTTCTTTCGTCATAGTGTAAACAGGCCTTAAGAAGTTGTTTTTTTTCAAGTGTTCGCACTTTGAAACTTCGATGTTCATCTAGAAAAAAAAAACGTGCTGTACAGTGTATCAAATTGTAAAAGAGCTATTTAAAATTATATTTTGATCTGTTAGAGGAAAAGGCCTAGTATCGAGAAAGTTCTGCAAGATGTACTAGTGATATTTAAATATATTATAAGAAGTACAGTATGTCCAGTTTATAGTACTATAGAGTTTAAGTGTATCGCATTGAAATTTTGACTCAATTGCTGTGATTAACATAGCGTTAATAAGTCACACCTCTTCAATTGCACACTTAATCTCTTTTGTTGATACAGTAGTTAAAGAATGAGGAGGGAAAAGATAGGTGAAGCCTGGTTTCCATAGAATCGCTACACAGTCGCTAAAGCGTTTCACTGCAATCATTGCGCTGCGTAGCTAGCTGTCCCCGACGCAATATCTGGAACTGATTCCACTGACCAATCGGCGTCGCCAAAGGATTTGGCGGTAACGTGCAGCGGTTTTATGAAAACTCGGCTTTAGGGTTTTCTTTTAAAATTGAAATTGTGACGCATTTGCTGTCATTGACATAGAGCTAATGAGTCATTAATTCTTTGAGTACAATAAATTTTAGAAGTAGCTAACGAACGAAAACGAATATAAGAATTTGATTGATTTTTCTAAAAAATATATTATTTTTAGCTTGGTTTCCATAAATTGGCTACATTGTATGGCCAAGTTGTGTTTGCTGCGTGCTGTCCAGGCCCGTACGCAGGGGATGGGGTGGAGGGTGCGACGGGTGCGTACTCGCCCACCTAAATTACCAAAGGTCCACATTTTCAGTGGTAAAAAATTCAAGGCACACTCTCGCACGTTCCAGAAATCGATCCACCAAAACTCCTTGACCAATCAGAGCAGTTTCCAACTAGGACTGCCTCTAATTCGTCATAGAATCAAGGACTGTATTTATAAGATTTTAGAAGAATTTTAGTGTTTTTTCCCCGACGCTTGCGTGTCAGTTACTCCCCGCTTACAAACTCATCTGCTTTTTAGATTTCACTAAAATTATATTTATTCTCGTTTTAGTCTGAGAGTGCCATTTCCGCGCATCTAGAAGAAGAGTCATAATCACCATGGCGGCGGGGCTGAGGTGTTATCGACTCCCATATGTAAAAGTCCTTCCCTGGCCTCATCTATTGAATTCACAAATATGCAAGCGCTTCACGATGATTCACACCTACCTACAGCGCTCGCGTTATTCGCCTCAAAACAACAAATGGATTAGTTGATTTCCCTACCTGTTCCAAATAAGATATCAGTATAGACTTAGTTTATGCATTCTCAATTATATATATTTTTGACGTCTACCCATCTCATCTACGTCCTAAAACGCTTGTAATTATTCGTTCGTATTCACAATTTTCATTAATTCCATTTATTCATATAAATTTACCTGATGGTAAATTTAGTATTTTCAATTCCCAATAATATTATAACCTTGTTTTCATTGTGCGGTATAGGCCTACATTATTTCTTTTACATTTAAATCTAACAATGTTTTATTTACATTGTGTTTCAAACATCTATGTGGCTATGTGTATGACCAAAATGTAGGAATTTATTTTACTCGACCTCGATTTATTTACCATCTAGCCGGGGTACCATAATTATAAATTTTCACCTCAGCCCCAACTATACTGGGGCTGAGGTGGTATGAAACGTCAATTTGTGAAAATCACTCCCAAGGCCCCTCATTTCCTGAATCTGTCACTGAAAAACCGTTTAATACTGTTGATATTTCATCTTCAGAATCAAATAAGACTTCAAATTATCAAAAATGTCTGAGCGCGAGGGGGCCTTGCCAAGAAGTTTTGGCGATAGCGGTAGCGATTTAGGAAACCATATTTAATTCATCACTAGCGGAGGTGTTTCACCATACATACATACATACATTGTATTGCAAGAGTGTCCAAATGCCTTGACAGTATACGGTACGTGCTTGGTGGCTCAATTTGGCAGAGCACATTGATGGTTTGGGAGACTTGGATTCGAATCGGAATAGTGACAAATAGGCCTACACATAGATTTGTGTAATGTTTACAAAATGCCTGTTGGTTATTATGATGAAATGTGTACTTAAGTGAACAGCATTCTGTTTATAATCTTTCCTATGTTTATTCTTAAATGGCAAGTAAACACAAACACACAGGTATAATACAATTGTACATTGAATTTAATTAACACTTAACAATAAAAACACCTGAAAAGTTTTGTAAATTAGTAACATGACGTTGAAAGTGATATTATCGAATTGTACTTCGAAATTGTTATGGTAATTTCGTTTAACCTATTTCTATTTTGTGTAGAATATAATATAATCATAATTTCCTGTCTCTTATACACATCTAGATGTGTATAAGAGACAGCATATATACACACACACACACACACACACCTACACACACCCACACCTCACATACACACACACATACCGTATATAATATACATATATATATTTTCATTGTGCATAATTCCTTTCAATTACTATATCCTAATTAATGTATAATAATATAATCATAATTAACATACAATTAACAATGGTGTTATTGTCCGTTGCAAACTTCGTTGCGTTTAATATTGTAAGTTCAAGAAGAACAGATATGAAAGTTTATTTTAATTGGATTGCGCACCGCCGGTGTAAAAATACGTTATCACTAAATATTATTGTCATGCCCGTATTTCACTTGAATGTGAAACAAATAAAGTTCGACATCTAGGCACATTGAATCACGATGGCTTGTATCACTTTCTTATTAAGTTTGTTTATTACTTCCATGATTGTGAAACTTAAGCCAGGTTTTCTGTAACATCGCTGTATTGTCGCTTTTTTGTTTTTTGGGTTTTTTTTTTACATTATTGTGTATCAACATACATAATTCACCACAAAACAAGTCTCTAAAATCGTATTATGTTTATTAAAAATGTCCCGTATGCAATTCAATTAACACAGAATAGAAATTGAGAATTAATTCACATCACATCTTGAAACGCCAGCATTTCACTTTGTTAACTGATATATCCATGTACCTCCACAAAACATTGACGTGCCAATAAATTTAGCCACGTCACTGGATGTATAGAGTACGCATTGTAACTTTTTTCATCTAGCCAAATACCTTGCCAACAGAAGAGTAACCATTCGCCTTCAACAAACTCGGTCAAAATCTACTTAAAGTGCATATAAAATATTATCACTTAGGCCCTACATATTTTGGCCGGATTTGCTATAGCGAATCGCTGCCCATGCCGACATAGCAACAGTACGCACACTACCCACTACTCCACATCCAATCACAGGGTAGTAATCTCGTGAGGTTTACGTTTGATACAAGCATAAAATAATGAATGTTGTCAAAACCAGGTGTGAGCACTTAAATCTCTTGACACTTTAACCATGGAGGAATATAAGATATTCCTCCTTGCTTTACAATAAACTGCCCGAGGAGTGTTATTCCAACGCCAGTGGCGTAACGCCTATGCCACTCGTGGCGGTGGGGGGGGGGGTGGCTCGAAGGAGCCCCGGAGATCCCCACCCTACTAATAAACAGCACTCTCTCCTAACAGAACCTTGACATTATGGTCTAGAACAAATGGTCTATAGTCTACTACAAACTGTCATTTAAATACTCAGAATTACAAACAGTAATATAATACACTACGGTATTGTTTGATATTCCACTGTGGAAGGGGGGGGGGTGCCTCTCGTAAACGACTACAAAAATACATAAGGCCCCCAACACGTTCTCGGGCCCCGTGACTCGTCGTTACGGCTCTGGTGAACGCGATTCAACCCATAAACATAAATTTAAAAGCTAAATTATTTTAATCTTAAAATTGTAATTACTTTGCATTAAATCATACAGTATACAATATTAATTAGTTCTGCTTGTGTATGTTTTGTGGTGCCTTGTCATGATTGGTTACGCATGATGACATGAACAACAGCTTGGACCAATGAATCATGTATCAGGGTGTGTTTACTGTGTTTTATCAGTCACCATACGCTAAAATGTTTAATATACGGCAATTTTGGTTTGTGCTGGATCGGCCTATGACAACTAAAATGCCTATGATTTATTTTGATTTTAATTCCTAGCATTTTAGATTAACTGCTCTCCGATATATTGAATAAAATGTGTTTTTATTGTATACTGGCTATATATACAATTCGATAATTGACGACGGTGTCTTATGGTAATTATAATTTTTATATCAAATATGTTTACAATCATATAACAGTTATATTAATGATAATTATAATAGTCCTAACAATAATTATATTAATGTTTAAAAAAACAAAATTAATATTAATTTTTTTTTTCATAAACTTAAAATATAATGGTTTCATAAACTTAAAATATAATGGTTTCATCAATACACACAATTCGCTAACTCGATTTACATTTTATAAAAATGTGGAATTAGTGCTTATCTACGTCATACGGTGTAACAAACCTAATTCTTGATTTTATAATAGTTACACAACATGTTCAAGTAATTAATATATGTGTACAAATATATTTCTGTCGACTGTGGATTACTGGAAGACATTAATTAAAACAACTATCTTCAAACAACCTTCATAAATTACCGCGTGAACAGGATCGGAAAAACAAATTCAAGTTTGGTGTTCACACTAATTAGACGCGTTACGTAAACGCAAGCAACGCAAGTGCGTACACCTCCACGCACCAACAAACTACATGTCATGTAGCTCTCTGGAGTCGCGGGAGATACTAGAGCGCAGAATAAAACTGCATTCACATCGGAGGCGCTGAACGCCAGCGTCCCCACATGCTTAAACCATAGAGAAAATAGTTATATTTTCTTTATGCTTAAACACTGATTCCATTTACTGATCTGTTCGGTAGGCTATCTTATCCGAAAATTCGGATTCGGTGTGAATGTAGTTTAACCGTGTCTTCCGTTAAACACATTGCTCTGCTTTTGCATCCAGTCGCTGCGGACTGTGGTTGGCTCTGATGTCTGCTAGTAGTGGAACATGGAGCTATAAATTTATAATAGCGCCATGTGTGAACTAATCTAAAAATGGAATTAGCAGCGTATTAAGTTTGCGTCAAACTGCTTGCGGTTATGTCTAATTCTTTGTCTTGTTCTTTAGTACTGTAGTGCATGCACTGCGCTACTATAGCTTCATGAAGTATTACATTGTTTAAAAAATCCCACAAGTGAAGCCCAATGTACAAAGTCGGCGATAGGCCAAGTTTACTGAAATGAGCTTTTGAAGTTATAACTCTCCTTCGCTGTGTACACCCAAATAATACATTCAGTACATAATAGGCCTAGTGTTCTGCCTGGAGAAATAATCAAAGGAAATTGTCTATTCTTGCTGATGTCCAATTAAATAGTTCCTGAAACCCATTTCAGTATAATACCACATAATTATATCAACTTTAACAGTCATATTAGAATTGTGTTTCTTATATCCCCACCAACCCACCCATATTTCTAATCCACTCGTGTCTCTATCCACATAGTTTTTATTATTAGGCCTAAGATGTCCCACTTGATTGTTTATATTATTTAATCTGCGAATTTATTTCACTGCCAGCAGAAATAAATAAATCGCTTCGTTCTATATACTAGGTTATAAAATCATACATATTGCTAATTAGTTCTGGACCTAAGAACGTATTACCAATTTGAATTTGAAGATACCGTCTATGATAACCTAAAAAACTTAAATTGAATTAAATATTATTTGAATCGTTTAAGCTTTGTTTCCATACAATCGCTACACGCTATCGCTGACAGCTTTTGGTGATACTGATTGGTCGGTCGGATCGGGGAGCCTCCCCATTTGCGTAGGGGTTTGCACGCTGTGCAACGCTTGAACTGGAAACACTATAGTGAGTGTAGCGATTTTAAGGAAGCCAGGCTTTAGGTTGTACAGAGTTACTAATTTTGATTCAAAAATAGGAATAATTTCCTCACTAATTAACGGGTGCCATAATAATGCCATTTCTATAATATTTAAAACTATTTTGGTTTAGCTGTATAAATTATGAAATTGTATGATCATTTTATAGTTTCCCAATGTTTGAATTTGATTTATACAGCAGGTTTATCTATACTTTTTAACACAGTATATTTAAAGATGTCATTGATTGGAAATACATTTCTATAAGTTAGGCCTATAAATAGAAAAGTTTGTATCGTTAATATTTCTAGAATGCATGTTTAAGTTTAGCTTAATCTGCTCTGAAAAAATATACAAAAGGATATACGAATGAGATGTAATAAATACGGTAGTAAACTATCAGACTTGGTTATTGATATAAACCAATGACTATAGATATTAAAAACGAATTAAATATGGTAAGACAGTTTATTGTCCGTGTATTCAGGGCGGAATTGTTAATATCAACATCCATATTAGGATCTTCTAAAAGCGCTGCTTCGGTCGCTGATATTTCTTCCGAGGCAGACTCGTCCCTTTCTTGCAGTGATATGCCACAACCAAACCAATCCCGTACGGTCTGTTTAGGAAATCCATAATTCACGGTGAATGTCCAGGGGTTGAATTGATAATAATATCCAAAGCTTGTGAAAAAGTACAAATAGTTATCTGAAAACTGAAATCCCGCCACAATTGAAGATGGGATACTTTTAAATGACAATAGAGAGAATGGCCCCGATATGGTTTGACTATAATCGAAAATGTAGAATTCATCTCCTGGAATAAAAAAAAATATATATATATATATATAAATAAATCAAGTATGCCCAGACTTAGAATTACGATTACAGAATATGCTTTGAATAATAAATAAAAATATCAATACTTAAGTTGGTTTCCATACAATCCCTACACGCTATCGCCGACAGCTTTCGGTGATGCTGATTGGTTGGTCGAATCGGGAAGCCGTCCTGATTGCGTCGGGGACCGCTACGCAGTGCAACGATTGCACTGAAAACACTGTAGCGACAGTGTAGCGATTTTATGGAAGCCAGGCTTAATGTAGAGATAACCTTAATATTTAAAGTGATATTCAATAGTTTTGTAGAGATGATATTAATTTTAACATTTGTAGAGATAATTATATGTTAATATACGTAAAAATAATATTAATGTTAATTTAGATAATGATAGTCCTATGTCTCAAATGTATATTGTCAGGAGTCATAGGCAATGTACAAGCTTATTACATTGGGAGTGGCTATGGATACTGCCGCAGTGGCGATAGCCCCAGCGCAATGCATCAATTATGGTGTTTCAGAAACTGTAAGCAAAATATCTCTATATCTGAGTCAGTGATTGGATAATTAATATGATATTCGTATTCAAATTAATTATTATACATAAAACAATTGTTAATGACTATGAATAATTTTGTAACCAATAATGATTTTATTGTCCTATTTTTCGCAAATAAAAGTTCAAAATTTACCTTTAAAAAAATACGTTTGACCGTTTCCTATACCCTCTACGACCGCATCTAATTCGGTTAAATGCTCAGGGAAACCGGGAAATTCCCAACTTATGTCTTTAGGATAGCCATCATCCAAACTGTAGAATGTGTATCTATAAACCTGACGACCCTAATATGATATAAAACGATAATACAATATTATTTTATGCAATTTTATTATAATATTTCTTTTGCAGATCCTGGAACTCTGACAAGAGAGGGGATACGAAGAGGGACTTTTTCAAATGGGGAGTCCAAACCACATCAGGCCATAAATTGCACTTTCAGACTTATAATATTGCAATAAAATTTCTTTGTTTTCCAATTTCTTTCAAAAACTGATATTAAGGAGTTGGGCCTACTGCATCCAACTCCTTGAAGTGTAAAATAAAAGAAAGTCACCATGAAAAGAGGATTGTTAACTCTTACGTAATTAAAATGATAATTATGACATTATTATTCCTAAAATATGCATTGACATATATTTGGAGACTGGTGTGTAATTTATTAATAATGAGCGCTACTAGTTAATTTTGGGGTTTTCATTATCATTTATTTTATTTCAGTTCTGTTCTGTTTACTTATGTATCATTGACCAATACGTGTACTTCAAATACATGTACTTCGAATACATGTACATGAATACATGTACTTCGAACTTACCGTGAAGAAATAAGTCTTGTATTGCCGATCTTTCCAAACATATCCATTTTTTACTGTTAATGCAGCATCTAAATTTGATGGTAATCTAGGCCATGTTTCCGAAATTCGTTTTGGTGGGATCAATACCTTGCCATCATATATTTCCCAATAGTATTTGTCTTAAGAAAAATATGAGAAAAACTGTGATAAAACTCTGAATATGTTATTAAGACATTTTTTTTTTCAAAATGTAATATTCGAAGGTATAATTATGTCTGATGATTGTATATCTTCATTGGTTGATGATGGAAAGCACACCGCCTTCCGGTAAGCCGTTGGTCCCGTGTGCACTAATGTCCCATGTGTGCACTTTAAAGAACGTAGTACACTCCTCGGAAGAGTAGGGGTCTCCCGGTGTCTTCAGATTCAGGTGATATCCGAGTGTTTCACACCAACCTTGGATCCACCACTAGGAATGTCATAGTTGGTAATATTTCAAAATTTAATGTATAACCGTAGGATATTTAGATGCGACATGCGAGTTTTATCGTCTGGTAAGGACGTGGATTCGGTCGGCTTATACGCGCACTACAAAGACACGGGAATGTGGCTTGCGCGGACTTAGCATTTGCAAGAACTTTTCCACCCTCTAACTAAAAATCAATGTTTGTCAATGATTCTCTTTATCCTCTGCTACTTGTGATTTTAATTTTTTTTATATATATAAATTTTATCTTTCAATTTGCAACTGCTTCCAACTTGTTTGTTTCATCGGAAAGAAAACCTAAGCACGATAAAACTATATAGTACGGCAGTGCCACCGAGAAGGGGGGGGGGGCGCAGGGGGAATGATCCCCAAGCTTACCAGGGACCCATAAAATTGTAGGTAGCATTTTTTTTCAATATTTTTTCAAACATAATAATTACTATCATGGACCTTCAATAATGGCATGGGTCCCCTAATAATGGGCCCCTCCAGATTGACAGCACCCCCCCCCCCCCCCCCCAACACAAAAAAATTACACTCCTAACCTACACCAACCCTTTCCCCTATTACAGTTTTCCCTCTTGGCGGCCTTGCAGTACGGTACGGTAGATACTCTTGTCTACTTTATGCGTACCTTTGAAACCATAAGTTCTACCATCAGCTGTTAATGTGATTGCATCAAATGATACCTGGCAGTTGCTCGGATTAACCATAATTGTTTGTTGCGTAGGCATGACTGGATTTTCTGTCGGAGGATTAGGGTTGGGGTTTACGGTCACAACGTTGGAAGGTGGTCCTGGAAGTAAATTATTGATTTAAAAAAATATTAGAAAGCATTGTTAAACAATCAATCAGTCAATCAATCGGTCAACCTGCCAGGCATTCAGTCGAATCAGCAGTCAATCAATCAATCAATCGCGTTAGTCAGTCAGTCAATCAGTCAGTCAGTCAGTCAGTCAGTCAGTCAGTCAGTCAGTCAATCAGTCAGTCAGTTAGTCAGTTAGTCAGCCTGTCAGTCAGTCAGTCAGCCAGTCAGTCAGCCAGCCAGCCTGGCAGTCAGTCAGTCACTGAGTCAATCAGTCAGTCAGTCAGCCAGACAGCCAGTCAGCCAGCCAGCCAGTCAGTCAATCAGTCAGTCAGTCAGCCAGCCTGTCAGTCAGTCAGTCAATCAATCAGTCAATCAGTCAGTCAATCAGTCAGTCAATCAGTCAATCTGCCAGTCAGCCAATCAGTAAGTTAGCCAATCAATCATGCCAGTCTAGTCAGATCTAATGTCAACTGATTGCATAGCCTATGGCCTTAATCTCAATAACCCCACAATCCTCTGTCCTGCTCCAAATTGGACATCAATACTATAATTACCATAGAGTGATTGAACACCTTCGATATCATCTTTATCTAATTGTAAATATGGGTCATATGGTTTATTCCATGGCCACATAACTGAACCAAGCACGGAACTATGTGACAGACCAATACTGTGGCCGAATTCATGTGTTGCAACAGACACAATACTGGTACCTGTATAACGTAAAAAGAAAGTAAATATTTATGTTTATTATCATGTTTTGCTTTATTATATTGTATTTTTGATGAAATTTACAATCGAACATCGATATATAATCGCCAAAAATTAAAACATATTTGCATTCAGCATTCATGAACTTTTCACTGAGGAACCTGTTCAATAGAAAAGAAATGTTCTCGCGTAGGCTTTTAAAGTCGCATAAACGATTACCTAGGAAGATGGTCACCAACAAATAATAACTAACAATCAATGATTATTGATCATTGATCATAATCTTAAATGACTACCGGTACTATTCAAAGCTCCCGAAACAAATGGGTTTAGTTGTGAGCACATTTTAAAGTTCCAAATTTTGTGCGATATTTGTAACCCCTCACTAAATATATTTAATAACTGAAAATATTTTACCAGTGGTATATTTAAGGAGAGGGTGCATGGGGATGGGGGGCGCACTTCCCTAAATCAATTCGCTCCCCATCGCACCCCGACACCCAAATCCCATTAAAAATATTCGAAGAAAAAATATCACTCAAATAGATATAACAATTTATTTTTCAAGCTAGCGCCCCCTCACCTAATCATAGAACCCTGCTCCATCTTCATGTCCACTCCATCCATCAGTCCCCACCCCCACCTAATTCAAGATTTCTAGATAAGCCACTGGATTTTACTTCCGAGACGGTAACCTATGAAGTATTTTATTAAAATAATGACGTTTTATGAACATCCTACCTTCCGCTGAGTTTACCGTCCATGTTTCGCCGTTATCAAAGTGAGCATCACCTGACAAGGGAACGCTGCCCGGATAGAAAGCATGCGCAATAATGCCGCCCAGGCCGTCAAACTTGACATTGTCACCGTGGTTTACGTACGGTTCTGCAAACAAAATTACGATATCTGGATCTGGGGTATTAGCACGTTCAAAGGTAAGTCCAGATGCATCTGACCAATACTGCAAAATAATAATACTAGGCCTAATAGTATTAAAGATTTATAATGCGCAAATCTCCACCAATGATGCTCAAGGAGCAGATAATAATTATTAAAGATCAGTAATAATTTTAGTCAGTATTATAATCATTATTTAATATTCTTATCATAATCGCCATCACCACCAAAGCATCCCTCCTACTTCCTCGTCTCACCATTGTCATTATTGTTATTGCCTTTTTAACCAGCTTAAACCATGCTCTGTCTTCATTATCATGCAATTACTCTATACAAAATAGTGTATCTATGCGATTTGAACATCTTACCTTCAATGCAGTAGTGATGGCTTCGACGAGTTGTTTTTCCGAGACATCTTCCGTGTATCGTTCTATATTCCAAGTTAAATGTTTGCGATCCCATGGGGTTCCGGTAACATAGCGCTTTGATCTTGAAGAGTTATTCTGGTTGTCTGGTAGGCCACATCGGGGCGTGTTCATCAATGTAAGCGTAGCAGTATCAAGTTCGCCTGTGAGTTGATTATTACATACCAATTATCTATTTGTGTACTAGTTTCTTTAGGTAATATGCGCATTGTAGAATAAATATTACATGTATCATTTTATAGATATTATATTCCGTAAAAAGACTGAATCGTTCATATTTTTGTGTGATTGGAAGTTTTCATTATAGGCCTATATATGTATGCATTATACATATATATATATATACAAATAACAGTGTTAACGGCTATCTATATACACATATATATAAACAAACATGTAAATATAGGCCTATATATGTATATATGTATATATATGTATGTATATGTATGTATAGGCCTTACGTATGTATATATATACATATATATATCATATATATGTATATATATATAATATATTATGGTAATGATAATAACAGCATAATATATATATATATATATGTGTGTGTGTGTGTGTGTGTGTGTGTGTGTGTGCGTGTGTGTGTGGGTGTGTGTAGGGGTGGGGTATGGGTGTGTGTGTGTGTATAAGCATATCTTTTACTATACCTGTCTGCGGTATTTGTCCTACGGCTTGATATTTAATAAGGGCTTCTTCAAGCTTGTTACCATCGGTATTGGCTCCAGGCAGGGGCTCTTCTAAGTATTCTAACTTTATCAAATAATTCTGAAACCCAGTAAATAATCAGTCAGTAGGCGCAGCAAAATTATTATTGTTTATAAAATATGTCATCATCTTTCACGCATTCACATGTAGGCCTACATAATTATCATGTGAACTTTATTCCTAAATGAGTATTGCCGTTTATTTTTGTGGCACTGATCTCATTATCCATATATGCCATCGCTTTCTCCTTCAACTTGGAGCTTATTATGATTATGTTATAAGCCTCTGTTTTCACCTGCTTTGGCTGCATTCTGTATCTTACTATCTCAACCTAGCAAAAGTATAGTTGTTCGACTTCCAAAGAGAGATACTGCAGCAGTACCACGATCACTGTAGAAAATGGCCTTTAAGCTGACATTCTTCAGACCAAACCGAAATTTGGACCGCGTTTACGATGCGTCCCTATTTTTACATACAGTAGGCCTGCTAATTCTGATTTTTTTTTGATCGGCTTGTTCGGCTTTTCGATCCGAAAATTCTGATTCAGTGTGAATGCACCTTAACGCACTCTCTGTATAAATAAAATCACTCTTAAACGCTTTGTAAACGAAGACGCAAACGCAACAGCGAACGGAGCCGCAATGTCGTCACGCAAATCGAAAGCTTATTATTTTTGCACCGTGTCCCGAAAAACATTGACAACCGCTATATTTGGTTTATAGATTTGGGTTTTTTAGTCTTGTACCGTAATTATTAAGGAATGTGAACTGGAACTAGGTAAACAAAATGCCGCTTGAATATAGATTACGATTTATACAAACATAAAGTATAAGCTATTGTTGTATTAACTGCTGAAAACCAGAGAAGTTTTTCTATCACTTTTGATACATAGAATAGGCCTACCCTGACCTATGTCGCATAATATCAAGTAGTTGTTGTTGCTATTATGCAATCATTAGCTTACAACGCTTCGTAGCATTAACTGAACAGACTGTTAATCGGAAGTATTGGTTTAATTGGTGTTGTCGCCACCAGAAAAATACAAATTTTTTAGAATAGCAATCTCCAGAAACCTACCGGAAACAAGTTGTTATAATACTTAGTTTGAAGGTGTAACGACCTCTCATAGCGATGACTCCTAATTTTCCTCATTTTGAGGAGATTTAACTCGCCACCAGACAATTTAACCGACATGTGTTTCACAAAACATAATAACTAAGTATAGGCTAATGCCATCAATGATTTCTGAAGATACATAAAGGAATTAGTTTGGAACATAGTTCTTCTCGGAACCAGGCCCTATTTATGTTACGTACCACAAATTTACTCTAGCATAGGTTATTTTCCAACCTTTGGTCGAGATCCAGAAAAAACTATTGGGGTCTCTAAAATCAAAAGGGTCGTGGTGTTGGCCTCATCAATTTTCACGATTCCATTTTTTTTCCGCTTCTTACAACATAGTGGCAACAACATATTACTACTGTTAAGTAGGAGCCTTATCAATAATTAACTAAATTTGATGTACTTTTGTGGCGACTCATCTTCTGTCTACAGTCTTAAAATATCGGTAACCACTAGCATATGTCTTTACTATCCAATTAAAATTTTATATTGATAAATTTTACATTATCTTCATCGTTTTTTGTGTAATTTGTAATGATGGGCTATTTAAATTATTCATATTACAGCAACCAACTACATCGATCATGTACTTTTTAACAATGTCAAATAAATATTATATTATTTATAGATAATACTTTTATTTGGCAACATAGTATAATCTTTGCTTAGAGTCCACGAGAAAGAGAAAGGCAGTTTAAACAGATGCTACATTCTCACTGACACAAATAAACAATAATGATACAATATCATTATTAAGTACACCGACATTTTATTTGCAATAAACAAAGAATATACATATATATATAAAGATGCCAGATAATGGTGCATTGATATCAAGTGTTTGCTGCGGAAGTTTATAAGTATGACAATAACTATTGCCAATTTTTTGCGGTTTATTGGCACAGCAGCAGAATGGCACTCTGAAGGGCACTAGTTCGATTCCCACAATTATTCTTTTCAACAGTTAGGCTCTCTCCACACTATCAAGTTTAATGTAACCATAAAGGTGTGATATGACATCATCATGTCAATATGTGGGTGTGATATGACACCCACATATCCGTATACGGGTAAATGACAAATAGTTGTCATGAAAAACTTATTAATTTATAATCAGTGTGATTTTTAATGTTTTATGTGTACTCGGCCCTCTGGGAGAACAGTAACAATACTGAAGAGGTAACCCAGTATAAAGAATAAATAAATAAATAAAATAATACTGCTCTTTTAAGGGGTCATTCTCAATTATCAACATTTTCACAAGTGTACAAACAGTAGGCCCCCTACTCCTTTTCGATACCCCTCCCTCCCCTCCGAAAGTGTACAAAAAAGTGTTGATTTTGCAAATCATTCTCCATGTTTTTGTGAAGTCAACTAAAGCAATGTAGTAGGTTGCTTAAAATCAATATTATATCCATGGTTAGGCCCTACATTCTAATTTTACAATTATTTTACATTTTATTATTTTGAATAAAAAATTGTATGCATATTTGAAAGTGTACACATTTTTCTACCCCCCCCCCCCCACTAGTGTACTGTTTGTACACTTGTGAAATGTTGATAGTGTTCAACGACCCCTAAGGAAAGTTACACAACAAAAAACGAAATCACTGCACAACCATGACAATAAAAGTACAAATAATATTATTTGAATAATTACATTAAAATTGCAGAATAGGCCTATTTTAATTAACAAAGAAACAACTGAGAGAATTACCTAACGATAATTTAATTAAAAGAGAAACAAATAAAAAATTAAATTACATACTCCAGTTACATGTATAATTGCAAGGTCTGTTACAACGGCGCTGTAGAAGTCATAATAAAAAAAATAGTCAAAACTAAATATGTTGTTACTTATACAGTATATCATAATAGTGCTCTTCTAATTAATATAGGCATTAATAATGCAGTATTTATATAAGGCAACGAAAATGTATTGTATAGGCCTATGTTAGGATTAAAGAAAAGTTTGTTTTTTTTATTTGTGCCGCTGCTGGTAGTCCTATGTTGAAATGGAATAAACAGACCCAGGTAAGATACAACCACTTTTAAAATCGTGATATTTTCACAAAATATTTTATACACGTTGACGTTCAAATTTTATATACATATATTTTCTTTGATTAGCCGCCAGCTTTCTACTTATTGTTACTTTGTAACTTTTTGTATCCCTTATACTGCCGACAGATATATAGAATTGTATGAAACCAGTAATATTCTTATAAGTACATATTTTTGGTTAGATTGTTCATTGTGAACCATCAGATAAGAGAACAACTATCATTTTTAATTGGGTTTGATCGTATTTGTCGAATCTGCAACACCTTTTCGAGTTTGAATTGTCTAATTCTTGTTATTTCTTTAATGTTTATCTGCATTAAATGTATATACAGTAGGCGTATGTACAACCGGAGAGAACATATATTCTTACCCTATCGGTTGTTGTTCAGTGAGAGTTGGTTGCGTAAAAAGGGATCATGGTCACCGTGACAGATCACCGAGATAGTTTGGTTTTCTTTTTGAAGTCGTATTGAATTTCAGCTAAAGCAGAGGACATAAGATTGCCTTCATAAATATCAATATATCATGTCGTAAAAGCTGTTATTATTCAAGTATAACAAAACATTGTTGTGTTTGTCGGCTTGTTTAATTTCTTGCAAAGGTTATTCAGGGCCATTTCAGGTTATAAACAAGTTGCCGACAACGAGAATATGTTTTCGTCTTAAAAGCTCTGCTTTACCGAAAATCTATCAATGTGCTCGTGTATCGGTGTGTCAATCACTCTTAACAACTGTCCAATCAGAGCAGGCCAGGTATACGCGCATGTCCCACAGATATAAATGTTACATTGTTTGCAACAGCGTTTTTCGGGACCCTAGCAACAATAGACAAGGGACAGGGCTAGCCATGTGCCTAATAGACTTAGACTTAGAATAGAAATACTACTTAAGTAACGTTATATAGGTCTATTATTACTCAATAGACCTATAATAGTTCTAACTAGAAAATTGTCGCTTTCCTACTGATACACTTAGTACAGTTCAGCGCCGCCCCTTAGGAGTACTGCTCTTTTCTGCACAGTATACTGCAGTTTTTATTAGCTTAGGTCTACATGTGGATCAAGTTGTTAATAAGACTAAACAGCAACCATTAGGTGGCGGATCCAGGAATTTCCAATAGAGGGGGCCCAGGGAGGGGCTTTCACACAGAAGAAAATGTATGATTATGGCACCTTTGATGGCCGGCAATAGAACTCTCAGACTTAACGGTTTAATATCATTTTATCTTATTTCTCCATTGTTTTTTTTGTTTTTTTTTAATTTAGGCCCCCCCCCCCGGCTGCACACCCCTTCCTCCTTGAATCCGCCACTGCATAGCTTCCGAAAGAAGGGCGTTATCCTACAACCTGTATTTCACAGAATACCAAGAGTAGCTTAATGAAATATAACAAAAGCTATCAATGATTCATGAACAATGATTCCCACCAACTGCGCCACGCTGCTTTCGAGCAATCAAAAAGCATTAGATGCACATTATACAAAAGTGAGTTAATCTCAGTATCCACAATATCGCGTAATTGCCATACGGGATTGCGAAATCGCGTACTCAAAAACAAAAGCTATAAACTACCGCATGCGTTCCCCACAGAAAATGAAGATGAACACGTAAACTTAATAAATACATTCATTTAAGAACTTAAAGTGGTCGGGTGTGTATTTGTGTGTATAAATACAACAGTTGCAAATAATTAGTTAGATACGAACAACGAACGATTGATTATTATAAAACATCAACCTGTTTTTGCACTTTCTTTTAATATTTTGAAAGTCCCGATACAATATACAATACATTATAATACAATGATACGGTACCATTAGGCCTACATGTCGATAGAATATTTGTTTATATAGCTTGTATGGCAGAATATTCAATGT